TTTTTTGGGGTAGATGGACACAACACAAATGCCTTTATTTTTTATGTGGTGCTGAGAATCGAACCCAGGTCCCACTCGTGCTAGGCAGGCGCTCTACCGCTGAGCCACAATCCCAGCCTGATAATTATAGAGAAGGCCATCTAGAGATTCTATTACCAAAGTGGATAATTAGGAAAATAAATTTATTTTTGTGGTTTTTATGAAATCTGGGTATACAAGGACATGCAAACTCTTCTCTGGCTAATATCTAGTACAGATAACGTCACTGAAATTCTATAAAATGGAGTAGAATTGAATCACCTCTAAAATCTCTTTTAATTATACATTTTGGAATTCTAATAAACAGCAGCAACAGTGAGAAAACAGCTGCATGAATACTGAAGAAACTGAGAGAAATGAACAAGTATAGGGTGAAAAATCCAGTGATTACATGAAAAGGAAAGAACTGCTTCTGAAGCAACATTAAAAAAAAAATCCCTGAAAATGGCTATAATAAATTTTAATGATGGGAAGTATTTTTAAGACATAGGAAATTATTGGGGCTGGGATTGTGGATCAGCACTACAGCGCTTGCCTAGGACATGTGAGGCCCTGGGTTCGATTCTCAGCACCACATAAAAATAAATAAATAAAGATATTGTGTCCAATTACACCTAAAAAATAAATTTAAAAAAAGACAGGAAATTATTAAAGCTTCACTGTAGCTAGTACTAAGAACTTTGTGAAATTTCTATATGTCATCAAACTGCATGAAAAAATGAAAAAAATCATTAGGAACTTTGATGTTATTTTGTTCTATGTTAGTTATTTTTACTGAGAGAAAAGTCTCTTTCTGAATCTGTTACAATATTCACGAGTCAACTAAGAAAACCTCTACAAATAAGATGAATTTAATTTCAATTTTAAAACTGAATTTCTTGTTTGGTTTTCCTGGTCTTATTAGCTTCAACTTAAGAATATAGAAACACATTTTCAGTATTTCTTATAAAAACAGCTCATAGGAAGAAATACTGAAAAATAAATAGATTGGTAGAATAGCAGTGGCATTGTTTTCTTTCATTTTTGTTGTCATTTTAATATGCAATCTGAAACAAACTAATTATTTTAAAGCACAAAGTTTTTTTAAATTCTTAACCATAATTAAAAATATACAGAATATCAAAATGAGTTCTACACCAATTTTAATGAATTAGGGATACCTCAGCCCGACTGACTCATTTTTACACAAAACTCATAATAAAGTTTCTCCTGCTGTATCTGTATATATTTGAACTTCTGGTAAATGTCATCAATTAGGATGGTTTTTGATGTTACACTTTATATCTTTTATTCTACCTCTCCTCTCCCATCCCAATTCAGGCCTCTACAGATTTGCTCTCCTTGAAGTTGTACAAGCAGAGAGGCACTACTACAACCTCTTAGTGGCACAGATAATTGAGTGGCAGATGAAGGAGGATCTTCTGTACCTAGAGCAAGAATCAAATCAAGTAACCTACACACAGTCTCATCAAGACATTATCAATGTTTAGCATTTAAAATTTTTCCTCTTCTTTGAATACATGATTTTAAAATAAAGCAGTTTGTTAAAAATTGTAGTGATTAATCTCTGAAACCAATTTATTTCAAGTTCTAGATGAGTTTATTTGAAGAATATCTTGAGATTTCAGGGAAAGCTGTTAAAAATCACATGGAATTAACTTACTTGTGAAGTTATTGACATTCAACTAAATAAACTGGTTATTGAAGGAGATAGGATTAACCTGTTATTCATACCCCTAATTAATGAATTTGTATTCATCATACCTTTATTGCTCTCATTAAATTTAAAGTGTTAAAATATATTTACAACAATAGGAGTCATGTTATATCTGTTTTCTTTATTGAGCTTCCACACTATTACATTTTAAAATGAAATTTAGCAGCTAAGAATGCAAAAACTATTGGTCTAATACACTGCTGAAACTCTGGAATTCAAACCAATACAGGTCTTTCCCATGCCCCTAGAAAGACAGTTTAAGTGGGCAGGGGCGGGAGGAAAGACTTCACATAGAGGATCTCTCCTATCTACATAAAAAGAAGTTATAAAAAAATACTAAGTACTTGGGGCTGGGATTGTGGCTCAGCGGTAGAGCACTCGCCTACCACGGGTGTGACCCGGGTCCCATTCTCAGCACCACATAAAAATAAAGGCATTTTGTTGTGTCCAATCTACAAAAAAGATTCATATTCTCTCTCTCTCTCAAAAAAAAATACTAATTATTAATAACCTAAAGATCTACCAACTAGAAACCATGAATGTGAGTATTACTTGTTCTACAGATTGACCGTTGGTATGATGGGTTGGAAAGGGAAATGATGGCCTAAGATGGACTATTTTGGAATGCTATAGAAAAGATTATTATTTTTTTAAGGTAATAGATAGCAACTACTTATTGGTAAGATTCTCAGAAAATATATCATTCTTGACAGCAAGTATGGTTAAGTATTTCTTCAACATCTGCTCAAAGATGATTTTTACCATCCATTTTCTAACTCAAACATTTTATGATTCTATCTGAAGTGCTTAGCATTGATTTAAGCATTTCAGCCACCACCCTGAGGGACAAATGGGATGATACTGGTTAGGGCATTACCAACTCAAACATAAAAGCATCTAAGAAGCCCATTTATTTTATCCAGAGATAATATATTAATATATCACTCATCATTCTCTTCCTTAGGTTGTACTTCAATACTATAGTGGAAGAAACACCAGATTTTACATGAATTATTTGTTCTATAAACCCAGCCTGACCAGAAAAAAATTATAAGTACACTGTAGACCAATTTCTCTCATAAATCATTCTATTTGCAATAATTTTAGCAAATGAAATCCAATAAAATATGAAACAGATAACACATCACAACAAACTGAGGTTTATCAAATGAATGCAAATTGTTATAATTAGACAAATCAACTAATCATCATCATCTCAAAAGGATAGAGAAAAAGCTGCTGCAAAATCCAACATCCATCCCCAATAAAAACTTTCAGCAAACTACAAATAGAAGGAAACAATCAATTTGACAAAAGGCATCTGGAAAAAAACTGTAGCTCAGATCTTAACAAGCACAAAACTGAATGTTTCCTGCATGACTGGAATCAAGGCAAGGATGTCTGCTCTTACCACTCCTACTCAACACTGTACTGGAATTAGCCCAGTGTAATGAGAGGGAGGAGGGCAGGAGATGGGAAGGCGGGAAGTCAGGAAGGAAGAAAAAAGGCATACTGATTAGAAAAAAGGAGGTAAAATTGTCTTTATTTGCAGATAATTATTCACAGATGATCTAACAACAAATTTTACAATAAAGCAGATAAGACTAACAAGTGAATTTAAGCAAGGTTGTCAGATGCAAAGCAATATCAAATTTTTCCCTATAAACTGGCAATAAATGATTAGAATTTGAAGTTTGAAAAATAGTATTTATAAACAGCATAAAATATGAAAAACTTGGGGAAATTCAGCAAAAGATGTATAAAACTGGAACACTAACATCTAAAGAATGTTACTGAGAAAAATTAAAGATACAAAAACTGAGACATATACTGTGTTCATGAATCAAAAGACTCAAATATCATTAAGATGTCATTGCTTGGGCTGGGGTTGTGGCTCAGTGGTATAGCAATTGCTTAGCATGAATGAGGCACTGGGTTCAATCCCCAGTACCACATTCAAAAAACTAAATGAAGAAAATAAAGATACTGTATCCACCTACAACTTAAAAATAAAAGAAAGATCAATTCTTCCCAAATTGAGCTAGAGATTCAATGTAATACCAATTAAAATCCCAGTGGGCTTTTGGTTTTACTTATCTATTTTATGAGAGCATTATAGTTATAAATAGTAGTTGGGCTCATCCAAAGAAATTCACCCATGCATGGGATTTGATTTCAGCTCATGCTCCCCCCACTTTTCCGACCCCTCATTCCTCCTCCTATGTTCTTTACTCTAACTGATCTTTTCACTCATCAATTTATTTATTTTTGATTGGTTCTTTCTACTTATAAAGGTGAAATTCTCTGTGGTATATTTATATGCACAGTATGATTTTTAAAAATTTATTCCCCATTTCCTCCACTTTCCCATCCCTCCTCTCTCCTTCTCAGTCTCCTCCAACTCTACTGATCTCCCCTATATCTGATCCTTCCCTCCCTTCTTTCCTTTATTTTGCTTTAGCTTCCACATGTGAAAGAAAACATTCAACCCTTGATTTTCTGCAATGGCTTATTTCACTTAGCATTATGTTCTCCATTTCCATCCATT